GAGCCTTGGGTAGGTCGTAGTGCAGGTGGGCTTCTTGGAGAAAGCGCGACGTACAGGCTCTGAAGGAGAGGTCGGGGGTTGAAAGGTGCGACTGCCTGTGAGCCATTAGCCATGCGAAACAGTACAGGAGAATCGGGAACCGCATACCGCCATGTCTGCGACTCAGGTAGAAGCCTTTTTGGCGCGGAGAAAGGCGGGAAAGTGAGAGAATGCGACGCCGAGGTCGATTGGTGGTGAGGTGTTGGTAGGTGTGTATGCAGCACTGGTCGCGCTCTGCAGCTTTGGAAAGTTGTCGGCAAAAGGTAACGCCGATTGGCTGGTTGGTGGCCCTCTCACCGCGGGGAAGGCATGAAATGGGTTTGGGGCCGTGACCATGTACCCTCGTGTATATTCATGTACTGCACAATGCAAAGCCATACATATGAGCCTCTCAGTATGGACGAAAAGAGCGGTATTCGTGTTTTATGGTTGCTTTATCACATGCATTGATTCTTGTAGACACAACCATCATCGGTTTTGTTTCGTCCTGTCCTGCGTGTTTCCTTCCGACATCCAGGTCAGACTACAGAGCCGCAAACTAGCAGCGGGTGCGCTAAGATTTTATCGTCATGTTCCCATCGTCCCACAGCTTTCTCCCACTCAGCTAACCCGCCATTGCATCTTCGACCAACTATCACGCTCGCTCTCCTACGCCTCATTCGTATCCCATAGGTATCTGTCACCAATTGCACCATTGCGCCTCTCACCGTGCGTCGTCTCACCCTCCTACCCGCGACTTGCTCTCTCGTCGCTCCTCCACTCATCACACAGCATGCTCCGGTAGCAATGCTAGCAATTTGGTCCCGGGCAATAGTGAACCCGGGATCCTGTAGGTGCATGTCATGCGCCTCTAACACAGTCGTCCGCGCACGCACAAGTAGTCCAGCGCCCTTTCGTCGCTCGTGGTCTACACCCAGAACACCCACTTCGACTTTCGTATACACGGCCATTTTTGCTGCAGGGTTGACTGCTGATGCAAAGGCCAAAGCGGGCAGGAATAAACAATGGGAGCAAGCATTCGACAAATTGAACGAGCCCATTGATGCTCAGAGTCCGGGCAACAGAGACACGAAGCCAAACGTGACGATTGCTCGCTCCTACGAGCATGCTGAAAACTGTGGCCTGTCATTTGATGACCTCCCTGAAGACCTTGACTGGGCTGCTGTGCAGAGGATCATAGGCATGGACCTTGTTGAAGATCAAGTCTTGGAGACGCAAGAGGTTGAGTCACAGATTCGCGATTATGCAGACATGGCATGGGATGATTTACGCTTTGATTCGAGATTTCCCGGAGTCCAGCTGCTCGAATGGCCAGCGAACACAGGGCCGGATCTCGTGCGCTACAACCTTCCGCCTCAGTCGCTATGGGCACCAGATGCCTTGCGTCTTAACGCCATGCGGAGACGGCATACTCGGAAGAAATTGGCCATACAGGAGCTTTCCACTGCACTTCTTATCCATGAACTGCTACACCAAGCTAGCGTTTTCCGCTTTCTGAACACTGCAAGTGACGAATTGAACAAGCTGGCACCACAGATCCTGAAAGTTGTTCACATGGCCGAAGATGAGCGCAAAGAAGCACGTTTAGAGATTTTAGAGGCACTTGAGAAACTCTACAAGACTCGTGTAGACAGTCCTGCCGAAGACTTTGCAACTGCCTGCATCCGGGCCAGTCCCCTCGCGATTCCGAGCTATCATCAAGACGCCGATGGCGACTTTTATGGCATTACCAAGCAGTTGAATGACGGTCTCAAAAACCTGCTTCGCGAAACACCCCGCGGCAACGATCGGAAGGCGGGGCTCGCAGTCGCCAGAATATGCCACAATCTCCTCATCTCCTCCGCTTCTCCGGATCTGCAGACGTTCAATACCCTGCTGGTAGGCTTCAGGCGCTGGCGTCGCAGGGAGCTAGTCGAGCGCGTCATACCTGCACTTTACGCCAACAAGATACGGCCCAATGAGATCACCTGTCGCGAGATTCTGGATCATTACGCGCTAGGAGGACAATCGGCAGCTGCCAGCTTCTCACGCTTCGTGGCCAAGATGAGGGGTTTGGAAGATGCGCTCATGCTTGCAAATCCAGATATCAGCGTTAATGAGGCCAGCCAAGATCGCCTCATCCGCGTCAGCCCAGAAAAGGTTCTTCAAAAGGTTCATCCGACACCCATGGTGTTTGGTGCGCTCATAGGTGGCGTCATCAAGTTTGCCGGTTTTGATCGAGCTCTAGATATCTATTATGAGATGAAGGCGGATGGTTGGGGTCTCGACGTGCGAGGGCTAACCAGATTGTTGGGTGATTGTGTGCGCCGAGCTGACTGGGAAGGTGGCCTATACGTGTGGGAAGAGATTAACGGTATCAAAACACGCGTGAAGCATCACGATATGGCCAAAGCATACAGTCAAATGCTCAGCTTGTGTTCCGTCACTGGCAACACCGTTGCCTTCAATCAGATCTTGAATGATCTAGCCAGGGGAGGATTTGATCGCAAGCTCATCATTGATGCGGCTACACGGATGACGAGCTTAGCAAAGCGCAAGAACGAATACCTGGCCCCGGCTTGGGTTGCCGATAATGTCATGATTGCTGTGTCGCAATATGTCCAGGACGCCAAACCCTCTGGGCCGGAGGTCGCGCTAGATGTGCTCGATACTGATAACACAGCGCTCTCTCAAGACGAGTTTGATACTTTCGGAGATATTGAGCATAATACGGCCGATACCAAAGAAGCATGGGCATCTTGGGTCGAACATGAGTTCGGCGTGAGGCCAAAAGAGCCAGAGCCATAAGATTCCCATGGCTCTCTGTACATTACCTATGTTTACACCACTGTGCATATCAGAGCATTGGGCCGGCGTTTTGTAGTGCTGAGCATGTACACGACAATGTGAACTCAGATCGTTTTTCTCTTCGAAAAGTCGCCCATTTCCTTATTACTGCAATAAAACATTGTTACCTGCACAGTCTCAATCAGCCAATACATTCCGAAATCTGTTCGCCATGCGAGCAATGTTGATCCCGTAGCTTAATGACAGTGGCGAGCCGAACAAACGTTTGCGGATACCATCCCGCAGATGTCACCCGATTGCTATCTTGCCGAGGGCATGCTTGTCCCTGATTGTCTATTTAGATTACCCGCGCTGCACCACAATTTACAGTCCCACTTCCACAACTTCATCACCGAGGAAAGGAACACTTTGTGAACATGGTCAAGGCTCTGCATCAGTAAGGAATAACTTGGGACTACCATCTGTGTTTCTATTGGATCGTCGTCCTCTGCCGCTGCTATCACAAGGTCGCCCATAACGCATGGCTGACACTCAAGCACCAAGCTTTTTAAAACCCCTTGGCATATCGTATCCGAAATCAACGACCTGACGTTCAGCCGAAGCTATCGAAAGTCTTGCGTCAAGTCACGTCTCTCTTGCAACATGGCTCCGCCCAAGCACAAATGGGCTCAGGTTCTCGCTTAATTGGATCGGGCAGATTCAATCTAATCAGGTGCAGATGCAGCCAAGGACAGCTGAACATGTACTACAACAAGACTATATCAGTCACACTGATAGGGAACTGGGATTATTGGTCTTGGTCAGTGCGCACTACTCCCACAGCCGTTATACCGCAAGGTGTTCCTTTCCCCGGATTTTCTTGCTATCTTTGGATCTAGACCTTTCGGTGTTTCCCTGCATATCACCACGCATCCTGCTGAACTGGAATGTATTCGCCCCGCGGAGCCCGCATCCATTCCAGCAATCCGAGTCCAGAATTTCGGAATGCATTTAATATTCTTTTTGCTTCCAGAACGGCTCGGCATCAGGACCTACTTTGTACCCAAGACATTTCCAAATCTAAACATCAGCCACCTTTGAATACCAAGGGACACGACAGGTGGCGTACATACCAAGACGATTCTGCTTTACAGCAGGAGAAGCGACACCTCTCCGCGATGTGCCAGGAATAGATGAGGAAGGAACATTCTGCGCTATTGTTCATGCCGGACAACGGTTTGCACTAGCAGTATTGAATGCGAGCCGTTTGATGCCGGACGCGCAGGTTGAAGGCATGGATTGGCTACAGCGAAGCTGAAGGTTGGAAGTTAGCGCAGTGAAACGGCTGTGTAGCGCCAAAGGAATACCACCTTGAAGATACATCGGGTTGCAAAACCACTGCACGACGTGTCACTTGGAGACGACGCTGCTGCATCCATCCCTACCGTATGCATGTTTAGGGGGTTTAGTTATTCGAGGGTACCTTGCGAGCCATGCAGACACAATGTAGCACGGCGATACCAAATGGTCCGACATTACAGGGAGATTTTCTCAGACAGGTAAGAGTTGAGGATAATATGTACGCTGTCGTCTTCGGAATCTCGTCTGCTTATAATAGTTATACTCCAGGTACAAGCCGGGGGCCTATCAACGTCAAACCTTTGGTGTACGAGGAAAAGCGAACAATTTCACTCGGAACATCGGATCTCACATTATGCGGCAGCAAAGTTTGGCGCCCAATATGTGTGGCTGTCAAACTCTGGCTGAACAGGTCCCGTGTCTCTCTGTCGCGCTAACCCAAACGCGGAAGGATAGAGTACTTTACCCAAATTGCAAGCATCTCGTATCTATGGCCTCGAACACAGCAGTCACTTCACCTGCCCCACCTGGGTAAGTACTACATGCTGCGCTATAACGAGGGATGGGCAAAGTTTGGTTCAGACCATGTGCATAAATTGCGTCCGATGTTTCTGCTGCAATTCACATCGCCACTCACGAGGGTTAACGCGATATATTCATATAAAACCAGGACCAGCCACTGACCAAGTCCCTCCTTTTTTCTTTCCTTCGCAATAGAACAGTGACAATAACTCGATTTTCGACTTCACTCCTTATTTGACCCCGTCAACCCCACAGGAAAAGAAGATAAGCCAAGCGAAACGAAAGACAGAAAGAAAGAAAAGAAAAGGGAAAAGATGCAATACCGACTCGTCTCCATTCTCGCCGCCGGCGTACTGGTATCCATAACTAGCGCCGCACCCGTCCCATCAGCCGACGTACGTTCTCCACCCAGGCTACCACTCACCCTTTTCACTTCCCCTCCAACACTCTTACTAACCACCCCCCCAACAGAACCTCTCCACCCCCGTCACCAACCCTCCCAACACCATCGAACTCGGCAAACCCTCCTCCGAAATCATCTGGAGCAAGTCCAAGAAATCCCGCTCCCCCACCGACGACACTCTCCCCACCAACCCCGACGACATCGTTCTCACGCCCCCCAACTACGAAATCATCTGGAGCAAGGAGAAGGCCCGTGATCTGGAGTTCGAGAAGCCAAAAGATAGCTTTAACCTCGGGAAGCCGAGCACAGTGGTCACGTGGGGAAAGAGGGAGGAGCTCGGGACCCCCGAGGATACGATTGGGCTAGGCAAGCCGAGTACGGTGGTCACGTGGGGAAAGCGCGATGTGACGACGCCCGAGGATACGATTGGGCTGGGTAAGCCGAGTACGGAGGTTACGTGGTCTTGAAGTGAGGAGTGAGTAAGGGCGATGGATGTTGGAGGTGGAGGAAGAAGGAGAAGGGGACTTGGGGTTCCATTCAGTAGTAGTTGTTGTTGTATATGTTTCTCTTTCGGCGGGTGGAGGGCTTCTTTTGTGGTTAGATCAGGGTGTAGTTTCATAGGATATACATTTTTTTTATTCTTTTCTTACTTTCTGGATGATGATGATGGGGTTGATGAGTCATGTGTACAGTCAATGATGTTGTATATTGCAGTTATGTGATGGTGCGCTTCGGGTATCTTGGTGACAAAGACTTGTGCAACTCTTTTCTGACGTGAAACTGGAGGCGATACAAACATCACGTAACCTTTTTCTTTCCTTTTCTTGACAGATTTATTCAATGCCTTTCCTTAAACGCACCAGTGTATCATTATTAGAAAGAATATCTCTTCTAGCTTTTTGGCAGACAACAAACACAATACTGCCAACCTATTTTCTACATAGAAGATAAAACCAACCAAAGAACCCAATCCAAGCAACCCCGATAATCGTCTAACCTTGGCGATACCAGTTCTCCTTGGGATCCTGCATACACTCACCCATGGTAACAGCGCGAAGCCCCTGGCCATAAAGGTAATCAAGCATGTATCCTGTCAAGGTCTCAGCCGTAAGCTGGTGAATATCATGGGCAATAGCGAGCCTATGGTCGGAGCGCGAATCGATTCCTTGCTTGAAGTTGTTCTTTGACGTCTCCATCTTCTCTGGCGTGAGGTTGTTGTAGTCTATTCTGTTGCGTTAGCAATCCCCTATTTTTGATATAGAAAAGATGGAGTGTAGGGGAACTTACCATCGGTGTTGAGATCAAAGTAACTCACAACATAGCCCAGTTCAGCCATGATTTCCTGACACTGGCCGTTGCAGGACGAGTAGGGGGGACGCATGTAGGTGGGAAAGCGGCCGATGATGTTGCGGATTGCCATTTCGTTCTTGACCATCTGGTCGTAGACTTGTTCGCGGCTGATGGCGGAGAGATCCTGGTGGCTCCATGTGTGCGACGCGACTTGGTGGCCGTTATTGTACATCTTCTGCACAACGCCAGCCCACTGTTGGTCAATGGCGCCCTTGCCGAGATTGTTGCCGGTGACGAAGAAAGTGGCGTGGCCTCCTCTTTTCTCAAACTGCGTCATGATGGATTCGGTGTAGACGAATGGTCCGTCATCGTATGTGATGGCTACTGTGCCAGGCGCTTTGCAGGCATAGATGCCTCCGCCACCGTAGGGAACGCTGCCAAGTTTGGGCCGGGGAACGTTGCGCGTGCTTGTACCAGATGGGGTCTTGTTGGCATCGCATCCAGGGCCGAAGTTGAATAAGCAGTCGGGTGCTTTGCAATGATCCTTTGTGGTTCCGCAGTAGCCGGCTGCTGAGCAGCAATCGTTTCCGCCACATTTTTGATTACCGTTTGCCGGACCACAGCGTTCGACGTCCTGCCTCGTCTCAAGGGCAGGCGCAGAATGGGCAGCATAAAGGGTTTGGAGGCGAGCGAAAGGGTTTCTAGCGCGTAGTTCTTTTGGCATACCAAAGGTCTTGGGCATGCCTTCCATGCCGCTTGCATGAGCAGCGGCGAACTGTCCGGCCAATGAGGCGGCAACAACGTTTGAGAAACGCATTATGTCAGACTAGGGGTTTCAAATGCAGTATTACTTTTAAGCGGGTACGACAAAAAAGTAAAAAGAAGGAGGCTTGCCGATTAATTATTGCTCAGGGCGAGGGCTAGAAGAGTAAACGGTCTGGCTGCGTGTAGAAAGGAGGGAGGAGGACAGGGGGTCATCTTAAGTAGAAGGGAAAAGGATATGTGATGTGCATGAACGCTGATGGTAGTGGCGCTGCTTGAGGGGCGGCATTCAGGGCACCCGTAAGCAGTGGAGTAGACACTGTTGAGGATCAAGACAGCTCGCCCTAGCCAGGCCTTGGCCCAGGGATGATGATAAGTTGCATATGCTCATTCAACGATCGTATAGCAGGTTGCATCTTTGTTTTGTTTTTCAAGTCAAGCCCTTGATAGTGTGTAGAGTTCGAATTGGTATAATGGGATGAGATGTGCTCATGGTACATGTGCTTGGAGTGAACTGTTGTCAGCAGCCAAGACGATTAGTCTTGGTGATGATGTGTCGTCATGCTGGATCGCTTAAGTACTCTACCAGATGCCGACAAGTGTGTATGCACGTTGACGATCAAATTGGCGCTGTGAGCTCTCGTTGTATAGCAGCCAACCAAGCTACTGTATACCCGTTGACTGGTTGCGGGAGCACTGTAAGGCTTTTTTTTTAGAACAAAAAGAAGATGCTAGTAGGATATACATTCGAAGCAGTATCCTAAGGAAGAAGTTGAGAGACGAAATACGTGGTACGGGAGTAAACAGTATGAGAATTGGGCAGTTGAACCATGGTGCGCGTACAGTGGGTAGGTATGTAGATGTGGTACATATGTATGTACTCAAGTATAGAAGTACTGACCGCGACAAGGCCTATCGAGCATAGGCGGCAAGGCAGGACTGGACAGAGGTCCAAACAGTGATGAGCTAGTGGATGGCATGCATCTGTCTGACTGCTTGTGCGCCGTATTGGACGTGCAGAAGAAACGTCATTGGGCGGGCGCACCCCAGACGGCGCCAGTGCGCCGAATCGTAATCGTGGATAGTTTTGCGCGAGCATGACTAGATATAGATCTTGGATCCGCATCGTGTCAGACGTTTGTTTGCTATGCCCCTCGACTTCATTTCAACCGGGCAAAGACGCTGGCTCGGTTGCTGGCTCGGTGGGTAGCAGCAACTTGGCGGGTGCTTGGAAGCAATATTGGCCTAGGGGTTCAGGATGCTATTTCGGGCGTGGAACTCGCATTGGCGTGTGCCAGAGGCCGAGTGGAGCACAGGGGTGGTGCGGGACTGTGGCTGGTGAGTTTCCCAAAAGGATCCTGTCCTATGACCTTTTGTTTTAGCACGACTCGACAAAATCTCAGACTGTTGTTGTTGTTGTCGTCGTCGTCGTCGTTGTACTTGCAGATACGAGTCTTGCCAACACGCCATGCCTCTTGGAATTACCGACAGCTCACAAGCCATGGCCAAACCCGGCAAGCGGACTGGCGCCATTTGAATCAACTACGCCAACCAACCGTACACTGAAACGCGCGCGTCGTTTACATTAATAAAACACGTTCTAAGAATGTAGGCGTTGCCAGAAACAGGCTAAGCAAGGCCGGCGAGGGGCGGGTGTGCATCCGTATCCGTTGAACCCCTCGTCCCAAACCAGACGCCCCGAACAAATCCATGCCGGCTGCCGGCCCAGGGTGGCGTGCAACAGAAGACGACTGTAGAGGGAAAGAGGATGATTCTGTGTTTGCCCTACTCTTTCATTGACCTCTCTGGTTACCTCCTTTCTTCTTCTTCTTCGTCGTCGTCGTCGTCGTCGTCATGTCGTCGAAGCGTGTGATGGTGGTTGAGGTTTGGTAGCTGCGCCTCATGGCGTCGTGATTTGAGGGGAAAGGCAGGCACACAAACAGTCACGCACACAGAAACACAGCGTAGCCCTGTCCAGCCTGGCGGGTGGCGCTTGCGAGGCTCCACTGCGCCTTCCTCCCTTGCCCGTTTTATCAATACTTCATATAATACTAGCACCTCAACCTCGACTCTTCATGTCTCTTTGTTCGTGGACCCCTCTCTGCGTCCTCGTCCGTATTCTTCTCTACGGTAGCGCAGTTATTCGAGCAATCCGTCCATCTTCCTTGAATTTTCCATTCTCAGTGTATTCCTTACTAACGGTCATTCACTCTTGTACTGCTTCTTCCCTAATTTCCTAGTCTGTTGTCAATCGACCACCTGACTGTTCATCTTCTCCACACAGTACCTCTCTGCTCTTCATCTACGCCTCTACGGAAACCAGACTATCTTGTTCATTCACCCATCATGTCTCGTCTCCCACCCCTTGGAGCCCTGCTCCTCCCTCTAACCGCTCTGCTCATCTCGCCCACTCACGCCACCAGCCCCTACACCAGCAGCATGAGCGAAACACCCAAAGACAACAACGCAGACTGTGACTGCTACATGGTTTCCTCCGGAGCCGAATCCAAAAAACCATCCTACTTCCAATACTACCGTTTCTACGACTTCCGCAACCTCCCCGGCGCCCTCGACAACCCACCCCCAGCAATCAACGAGTCGCAAAACGCCGCACAACTAGCAACCTGGCAGCCTGACCTCTTCAACAGCGCCGCCTGGAACTTTGACTGGGGCATCCAAAACTGGAGCAAACCCGCAACCTCGGACTTCCCCGTCCCCCTCACAAACTCACCCGCAAACATCTATCTCGGCTCCGAACAATCAACCTCGTACCTAGCCCTGCGCACCACGCGCGCATCCTCCCACCAAACAGCCGCGGAGATGGAGAATCAGCAAAAAAACCTCATGCACGCTTCTCTGCGCATGTACGGCCGCGTGCAGGGCGCCTCGGGCGCAGTGGCGGGCTTCTTCACCTTCTTCGACGACACAAACGAGTCGGACATTGAAATCCTGACGCAGGACCCCAAGGACAAGATCCGCTACACCAACCAGCCCGCCGTAGATCGATCCGGCAATGAAATCGCCGCTGCGTCGCTCGACCCGACGAACCTCCCCCGCTGGGACGACTGGCACACGCACCGCATCGACTGGCTGCCCAAGCAGAGCTACTGGTTCCTCAATGGGGAGCAGGTGGCGCAGAATAGCTACTCGGTGCCACGTAAGCCCAGTTTCCTCGTGCTCAATATGTGGAGCGATGGGGGGGAGTGGAGCGGCAATATGAGTGTGGGGGATAGTGCCGAGTTTCATGTTCAGTGGATTGATATGGCGTTCAACACTAGTGGGCCGTATGAGGGCGAGCAGCAGAAGGGCGATAAGAAGAGGAGTGTGAAGAGGAAGGAAAAGAGTTGCAAGACGGTGTGTAGGATTGATGGGGTTAAGCAGGTTGGAACGCCAGAGGTTGCGTATGTGGGTAGTGCGGTGATTTCCACTGTGTCGTGGAGTCTAATGGTCGGAGTCGTGGGTGCTGTGTCTGTTTTCATTAGCATGTAAGAATACGCAGAAGATAAAAAGGGTGACTATGATCAAGCAAGACCGACTCATTGAAATGCATCAAATTCATACACTCTTTCTACTACTCGACTCCTCCAGGAAAAAAAAAGATAAACAATGCATGCGTACCATTGCGAACTAACCCGTTCAAAAACACAATCATCCACGTCCATATATCGTACACTACACACCACGCACAGCATCACACAAAGTGAGCCATGTCTTGAGTCCTCTCTCTCTCTCTCAACTAGCCACCGGGGTATTCAACGGCTTCTCCTCGTCCATTCGTCGCGGCGAAAATAAAAAAAGAAAGGGTGGCAACAATGCCAGCGGATATAGGTATATATACATTGACATGCTCTCATGTCAACCCTCCTCATTCGTCCGCCCCTCGTGTCGTTTCTCCTCATCGTCATGGTCGTCTATCTCGTTTTCATATGCGATGCACTCGTCCTTTTCTTCCATCGAAACCCGCTCCCCGCCTTTTCCTTACAAGAAATATTCGCCACGGCCTCCACGGCCTGCAGGTACGGCACGCTTGTGATCGGGAACGGCCGAGAATATTTGGAACTCGGGCTTAAGGTCTTCGCCTAGGTTCATAATGGAGGCCACGTTGCCGCAGCGGTAGCAGTAGTTTGGCGCCGACCACACCGTTACGACGTCCTTGTCCTTGAAGTGGTATTTGTAGCCTTCGTTGACTAGCTGATGGGCTCGCGCAATGAGCTGCAAGCCGTTGACGTGGTTGAACTAGGCAAGAATTAGCTTGTGTACGATTTCAAAAAAAAAGTCACGTGTCGATGATACCTCTGAAGAGACCTTGTCTCCAAACAGCCAACCTGCACCTCGAGGCGAGACTGCCCATGTGTCCACCTCTTCAGGATCACTCCAGACAAGATCGCAAAAGGCACCCTCGTGGGGAATCTCTTGGGCGCGGGCGACAACACGGATCTGGTCCAATGTTCGAATCTCGGGACTCAATCCGCCATGGACACAAAGAACTTTGCCGTCGACAATGGCAGCGAGGGCCAGGAAGTCGAAGACTTGACAGCAGGCTTTCCATACCGAGGCATTTCCGTACTTGGTCTGACACTCTTCGTAGAAGCCGTAGACTTGGGTGATTTGCCTGGATTCGTGGTTTCCGCGTACTAGCGTCACACGATCTGGGAATCTGGAGCGGGGAGGTCAGCATGACCATGCGTCATAGTTTCTTGTTGGGCGGGCTTACTTTGCCTTGAGGCACATGAGAAGCGTAAAAGTCTCGAGGCTAAAGTAGCCGCGGTCAACAAAATCGCCGAGGAAGATGAAGTTTTGCTGGCCATTTCCGCCAACGGTGTTCTTGCTCGAGTCGGCGTCCGAGGCGGAGCCAAAGCTGCGGCGGTCGTTAACGCTCCGGCTGCGGCCGCGCTCTTCCTCGTCGTCGTCATCGGCATCCTCGTCGCCGTCGCCGCCGGGAGGACTGGCGGGGCCCGTGTAGTTTGGGTCGCGCTGGAACCTGCGCTTCATCTTGCGCTTAACTTTTGGGTCTGTGATGCTGGTGGGGGGCTCGAGGTCGGCCGGATTGATTGTGCTGGGGATGGTGACTGGCTGGGTGAGGGGCGCTGTGGGCGTATCGCTGGGCATGCCGCCGGCGACGCGGAAGAGCTCGAGGAGGTCGTAGAACTGGCCGTGGATATCGCCGCATACCGTGACGGGGGTGCGGACGGGCTGGATGTTTGACTCTGGGAAGGGGCGGCGTGTTAATGGTATGGAGGACGAGGCGCGGCCGCGGCGTATTCACCTTCCATCAGGCACTCCTTGACAATCTCACAGAGGCGCTTCATGTCGGCCTCGGGCAGGTACTTGCATTGCTTGGCCTGCTCGAGCCATTCGTCGGGGCCCGCGCCCTTTGCCAGGCGGGCAGGGCCTGGCTGGGGGACGTCGTGGTCTTTGCCCATGGCGGGGTAGCGAGAGAGGCAGCGTGTGTGTATGTGTTTATATATATGGGGGCTGTAGATGTGTGTGTGTATGGCGGGTGGGCAGGTGAGAGAGCGTAGGTGCGCGTATATAGATAGAGGAGGTGTGTGGGTGAATGTACTACGTAGAGCAGGGTAGGGCAGGGCAGGGCAGAGGTTCGGGCTCGGGGGCTCGGGGCATGCGTGCGTGGGGCTGGGATGAGATGGGGCAGCGGGCAGGTGGGCGGCTCTGCCCTCCAAGCCTGGCGCCGCCGCTGCCTCAATTTCGACAAGACTGCAGCAGCCGCGCAGTGCTACGGCCCACGACGACTACCCGTACCGCATCTCTACTGCACTACGCATACATACAACAAGAAAGCTGCCACTGCCATTCACTGCCACCGTCCTTCCTGCCCATTCGACACCCAATGTCCGCTCGCACCACCCGCCCCTCTCCCCTCCACCACCACCACCACCGCCATCACCACTTCGCTCCTCCACCGCCACAGCTACCACACTCGCCATAAGCGACCTCAATCTCTGTAATCCCTTACACTCGCCATAGGCAGTCCTAAGCACTGCCATGGCCCCTCCACCCAGCGCCGGCGTCCTGCCCGTCGCCTTGCTTCAAAAATCACAAACAACCCACACACCCCGCGGTCAGAAACCTCCGCAGCCTCGCCTAAAGCTCATTTGTCGTCGCCTACCCCCGGGCCTGACCAAGCAAGAGTTTGTCCAAGTTCTGGGCGACGACTGGAAGCTGGGCGCAGGCAGAATCGACTGGCTCAACTACCGCAAGGGCAAAATCTCCACCGACGCCGCAAAGCCCTCTAAGCCCGCTCGCGCCTACCTGCACGTCACCAAGCCTGACCACGTAAAGGCCCTCGGCGACCATATTCGTGTCCTTTCCTTTCACGACGCTGCAAAGTCGTGGCAGGACCCCGTCCTCGTCGGCCCCCCTACGCTTGAGTATGCTCCCTACCCCAAGATGCCTGGTGGCCGCCGTCGCAACGACAACCGCCAGGGCACCATCGACCAGGACCAGGAGTTCAAAGACTTTCTCGAGAGCCTCACCAACCCCATTACCAAACCCCCTGCCCCAGAAAGCGAAGCCCCCAAGGACAAGGTCAAGACGACGCCTCTGATTGAGGCACTCCGTGAGAAAAAGGCAAACAGGGACAAGCCGAATGCAAAGCCCAGCCGACAGGCTCGTGGAGAGGCTAAGGAGGATGCTGCAGAGCGCGCCGAAAAGAAGATTCTGACAAAATCGACAAAGGAGAATGCCCCTACTGCGACCGATAAGACCCGCCGTTCAAACAAGGCCGACAAGGCCCAAGCCACCAAGGATGCTGTCAAGATACTTAACAAAGAAGCTGCCTCTTCAAAGACGTCTGCTGCTGCCACCTCGGCTGACAAGGCCTCCGCAAGTCCAGCCCCAGAGCGCAAGCGCGGAAACGTCGCACTTGCAAAGTCGATGCTCCAGCGCGACCTTGGAGTAGCACCCGCCCCCAACCGTCGTCGTGGCACCAAGCGTGAGGTTACGTCAGCCACACCCGATACTGCACCACCGGTCAAGGAAACAAAGCCATCCGACGACAAAGCCAAAGATGCTGCCGCTACCCCTCCAACGGCATCCGCTGCCCCAGACAAGTCTCCCCATCCAAACAGAAAGGAACGCCCAACCCGTGCCGAACGACGTGCATTCAAGGCGAACCAGGGCGACAAGACTAATGATAAGGCTTCGACTACCGAAGCCAAGTCACAGACGCCAGCAAAGACACCCGCTCCTCAGATTCTTAAGAAGCCTCAGCCCGCTCAGACGCAAACAACAACAAAGGGCCCGTCTGCCTCACGGGCCCCACCATCGGAGCCTGCTGCTGCTAGGAACAGCCCTGCTTCAGCGCAGCCGCAGGCTCCTCCCGCAAGGGCAGACAGTACTCTAACCCCTGCCACCACCAACAACAACACCTCAAAAGCTGCCCCGGCACAGTCTACCCCCGCCCCCACCAGCAAACAAGCCTTTCTCAAGCATGCCAACCCCAGCCAGGGTATCACCGAGCCCCTCATCGAAGAAGCCATGAAGCTCTTTGGCGCGATCGAAAAGGTCGAAATTGATAAGCGCAAAGGCTTCGCCTACGTCGACTTTACTGAGCCTCAAGGTCTTCAAAAGGCCATGGCTGCGAGCCCAATCAAAATTGCTCAGGGCGCTGTCCAAGTGCTCGAGCGAAAGGAAAAAGTGACCAGGAATCCTCGCTTCAATGGCCCTACTCCACCAGGCCCTGCTCGTGGTGGAGGTCGCGCCAATTTTGCTCCTCGTGGAGGACGGGGTGGCCGCGGAGCCGCAAGAGGTGGAGGTCAGGTCAACACCAATCCCGCTCCGAGTGCTGGCGATTCCGCCCCTACCGTTGCTCCACCTGCCCCTGCCCCCGTCGTAACATGAAGAGAAAGTTATTATTCCTCTTCTGTTGGAACCAAACAACGACGCTGGATGTCGCACACAGACCATGGAAAACGTAACTTGATCAACGTTGATGGTTGCAGAAACCACAATCTTACCCTAACAGAAGATTACCATATCATTCTTCAATCGTCTGGCATAGCTGCCCGTCATCGATACCAGCCACGTCAACTTATCTGACTTAGCCAAGTGCATTATGTAGTTGCACACACAACACACCCACACATCATCATGCAACAAATGTGTATAAGCTGAACATGGATTTCTACCACTAATTGGGACCTCGATAAGACAAATGGAGGTGGCGTCTAAAGATGCGATTACTATATATATGATTGATGAAACCTTCTATCCATTTGTATCACTCAAAGGGGAGAGTCAGAGTAATCATATCAAGCTATATATCAGTTCTCTCCGCCCTCTGGCTTAGTGCTCCTCTCCTATGAACTTCTTGGCCAACTTTTCCATCATCTGTGCATGAGCCACCCCTCTGGCACGGGGAACCTCAGACTTCGGGATAAGATAAGAGCAGTCCTGGAGAGTATGCACGTCGTTTCCAATGACCGCGAGCCGGTTCCATGCAGGTACAAAAGCATCGGCCCATTTCTTTGTCGATTTTGCGAAGACGGCATATGATTTACGAGTCTATATGATCCAACACGAGTTAGTTGTATATCGTTATATCAAACTTGTTGATCACATGCAGAATACGTACCGTGCCTGTGGTGGCCATGAGCCTATCGCTGGCAAGACTATAAGGCGCAGTACCGGCCATTGTCTCTGCGAAATACCTAATGTCGCAAACAGCTGGTGACGAGTCGAGTGATCTACCAGCTTTCGAGGGATCATCTTGGAACTGGAGTGCTATGCTGTGTGTTCCCAGTAGCGCAACCACATCGATCTCGTAGAACCCCTTAGCCGCAAACATGCCCAGTATCTTCGCGACCGGGTCACTGCTTCTCGGCAGACCGTTTGGCGGTGCAGGTTTGTAGCTGTCTCTCCTACCCACCAGCGCGTCAACCTTTGGACCAAGCGGGCAAGCTGAAAGAGCCATTGCACCAGCAAATTGGACCATGTCCGCAGCACCAACACCGTACTGGCGTCGCTTCTGATTGAGCGTCTTGCAGAGATCTTTCAGTCCGAGGTTCTCGACCCGTGAGCATTCTTCCTCGGATAGGATCAAGCTGCCGTTGCAGCCGTCGGGCATACAGTCATGGAATACTGCGCGGACGGCGGAGCGAGCGGCTTTGTTGCAACCCTGGAAGATATTCTTGAGGTCGCCGGCTATGGCTTGCCAAACACCGGGGCATCCGCCTGCGCGAGGCGAGATGTCCGTGGCGGAGATGGGTGTTACCGCAAGGGCGAGGAGGGTGATGGCCGCAGCAGGACGCATTTTGAGCTAAAAGTTTTAGAATTTTGTGTGAACAAAGTGTGAATGAATCTCGTGTCGTGTGGATTGATTTGTATGTATGAATGAATGTGAATAGAGATGTTATATCTACAAAGAAAAGTGTTGTTGGACTGCTGTGATTTCCTCTTTATTTTTATTTTCGGAGATGAAAGCTCGATACTTGTAGTCCACCAACATTCTCCCATCTCATGTCTCCCAAAACCTAATGGTCAAAAAAAGTTAATTATGAAGAACAAGGCCGAATTGGTTGAAGTCTGGTCGAGAGGAATAGAAGCCCGCTACGACTACTATGGACTCATCTTCGTGATGATAATAATTAACCTTTCTTCGTTTGCTCCTCACCACAAAATAGTCTTGTGCTCACCCGTCTCACTCTGTACACATGTAGAAAGGCCCCACCAGACCACTGGAATTGATCTAAGTATACCATCTGGTCATCAAGTGTAATTAAACCAACCTCTGCACACCGCTTACAAAAGGGCCATCCCTGATTGGATTCTATAAAATTTATGCCTTTGGCGGACTTTCCAGGTGCATGTCGCAAGGGGCGGGAGAGCTTACATGATATTGATAGCAGTGATAGTGGGTTACTAAGTAATTTTGCAATTTTTGGGCAAGAGTGGGCATGACGTGAGATGATCATGTACATACGGGACGGAGGCAGCCGTGCCGCATGTGAAGTAAACTAAACATAGTACAGAGTTGAGTGAGATGGACGTTCCATTATCTCTCCTTTGCTTGGCAACTCCCTTTCCTTCACCATCTCATGCATTGTGATTAAGACAAAAACTATGATGCGAGAATATCGCTATATGCTCTTGGACATCTCCCCAACTCCTCGTCCTTGCATCCACACATATTAAAGACAAACAAACAAAAATTCAGTAACGTGACGGATAAGCGAGTCGGTCAGGCAAGCGAGTCGGTCACCCTACCAACTTTGCGCACCCACCACACCTTTGCCTACAATGCCTCCAA